TCCAAGATGCCTTGAGAGAGGGTCACCGCAGAAGAAGCAGCAGGCGGCGCCATCAAGAACATGCGGCCGATCAGGAACAGTCCAGATGTTGCATCCGTGCACCAAGAAGAAGTCCAAGGGAACTCCGAGGAGGATCCGGACAAGGAAGTCGACCGTCTCCACCCCACGAAGGAAGGGAACCAGAAAGGAAGCTCTTCAGCTCCCCTCAAGTGCATCGGCTGTGGAGGTCGCCACAGGAGAACCGACTGCAAGTTCCGCTCCGCTATCTGCCAGGCGTGCGGAAAACAAGGACATATTGCAGCTGTGTGTCTGGGCCGACGAAAGGTACAATCTCAGGAAGAATTGCGCCTGAAAGGTACCAGGGTCCCCAGCCAGAATAGGGTGGGGTTTTGCGCTTCGTGAAGAAGCATTTTCAGGACAGGCACACACAAGCCCATTAAGAAAAAGCTGTCACTCAAGGTGAAGCTACAAGGGGTTCCATTAACTATGGAACTAGACACGGGGTCTGCACTTTCAATCATCTCCTTACATACATTTAGGAAGATTTGTTCCAGCAGTGGAACTCAGGCCAAGTTAAGGCCTTCTGACATTGTGCTAACAGACTTTCAGAATTTGAGAGTGTGTGTTAAGGGGGAGGCCACCCTTAACGTACAGTATAAGAATTTTGAAGGTCCACTAGACATATTAGTAGTAGGGGGTGAACGAACGAGTCTCATAGGACTCGATTAGTTTGAGGCCTTGGGATACACGTCACGGGGCTCAACAGCTTACAAACACTCGACCTGCAGGAAGTCTGCAAAGAATTCTCAGATGTTTTCAGCCCCCAGCTGGGCACATTCAAAGGACCCCCTGTGTCCTTAAAACTAGACCCCACTGTCACTCCCATTAGAATTAAAGCAAGAAGGGTCCCTTTTGCTTTAAAGAGTAAAATTGACACTGAGTTGGACAAACTGATCCAACAGGGAATTCTAGAACCTGTTGACTCCAGTCCTTGGGAGACCCCCATTGTCACGCCTCTAAAGGCAAATGGGGACATTCGCATTTGTGCCGATTACAAATGCACTCTGAATAAGGCATTGCAGCAACATGCCTATCCTGTTCCTGTGGTCAGTCATATCCTGGCCTCTCTCAAGGGGGGGCGTGTTTTTGCAAAGCTTGACCTAGCTCAAGCGTATCAACAGCTGCCTGTTGATGATGCTGCTGCTATAGCTCAGACTATTGTGACCCACAGAGGGGCCTTTAAGGTAAAAAGGCTACAGTTCGGAGTGAATGTCGCTCCTGGGATTTTCCAAAGCGTAATGGAAAACACACTACGGGGTATACCGGGGGTTTGCCCCTACTTTGATGATGTCTTAATTGCAGGAGACTCCACACACATTCTAGCTGAAAGGCTAAGGGCTGTTCTGTTAAGATTCAGGAAGACAGGCCTCAAGCTTAAGAAGGACAAATGCAAAATAGGGGTGCCTTCTACTGAATTTTTGGGGTTCAAAATTGATGCTGCTGGGATTCACCCTGCTGAATCCAAACTAACTGCCATTTTAGAAGCACCTAGGCCAAAGTCTAAGGCTGAACTTCAGGCCTTCCTGGGCCTCCTGAATTTTTACAATTCTTTTCTTCCACATAAAGCTAGTGTAGCTGAGCCTCTTCACAGGCTATTAGATAAACAAGCAGTGTGGCAGTGGTCACAAACACATGAGACTAGTTTCAATGAGGTCAAGACCCTGCTCACTTCTAACAGTGTACTTGCACACTTCAATGAGTCCCTTCCTGTGTGCATCGCTTGTGATGCTTCCCCTTACGGGGTTGGAGCTGTCCTGAGCCACCTCAGGTCTGATGGAACTCAGGTTCCTGTTGCATATTACTCCAGAACATTGTCTTCTGCTGAGCGCAACTACGCTCAAATAGACAGGGAGGCCTTAGCTGTTGTTGCTGGAATTAAAAAATTCCATGATTTTTTATATGGCAGGCATTTCACGGTCTTCACTGACCATAAGCCTCTGCTGGGACTGTTTACCACACGTAAGCAAACTCCCCAAATCATTTCACCTAGAATGCTCAGGTGGTCTATTTTTTTGTCTGCATATGATTTTTCCTTACTTCACAAGCCTGGGAAAGAGATGGGCCATGCTGATGGCCTCAGTAGATTGCCCCTGCCAGTAATAGAAGCTGACCCTGCGCCAGCTGTTAACATTCTATCCATCCAAGCCTTGCCAGAGTCCCCTCTGAACGCCAGGGATGTAGCCGCTGAATCGGGCACAGATCACACACTTTCACGTGTCCTTTCTTGGGTTTTGTCTGGATGGCCTGAGCACTGTCCTAGTCCTGAGTTTCAGAGTTTCTGGTCTAAAAGGAACGAGTTCTCCACCTCTCAGGGTTGTCTGCTGTGGGGAAGCAGAGTTGTCATCCCCACCTCAATGAGGACTAGGGTCTTAGGGTCCCTCCATGAGGGTCATCCTGGCATTGTTCAAATGAAGGCCCTTGCGCGCAGCCACTTGTGGTGGCCTGGCCTAGACAAGGACATTGAGGCTAAGGTGCATGCATGCCACCTGTGCCAACGTTCTCGCCCAGAGATGCCCCAAGCTCCTGTGCATAGATGGGAGGAAACACAGTCCCCATGGTCTAGGGTGCACATTGACTACGCTGGGCCCTTTCAGGGCCAGTTCTTCTTGGTCCTCGTTGACAGCCATTCAAAATGGCTTGAGGTTGTACCTGTCTCATCCACCACCACTGCAAAGACTATTCAGGTACTGAGGGGGATTTTTGCTGCACACGGGCTCCCAGATGTCATTGTGTCTGACAACGGCCCTCAATTTACTTCCTCCGAATTCCAAGCTTTCTTGCAGGCCAACATGATTCGTCATGCCACTTCTGCACCCTTCCACCCGTCCACCAACGGTATGGCTGAACGCATGGTTCGCATCACCAAGGACGCCTTGAAGAAACTCACCTATGGGGACTGGCATCACAGGTTGGCTGACTTTCTCCTTTCTTATCGCACCACACCATCCACTTCTACAGGGAGAAGCCCAGCTGAACTTCGCTGGGGGCGCAAACTGACTACGAAGCTTGACCGGTTGCATCCGGACAGACTGCCTTTATCTACCTCACACCCTAGGGCACCTAGACAACTACTTGTGGGTGCCCCGGTTTGGACTCGTAATTACGGGCCTGGTCATACATGGGTCCCCGCTTCTATTTCCAGGGTCACAGGTCCTCTGTCCTACGAGGTCTCCCTGGACGACGGTCGTGTCCTGCGTCGGCACATTGACCAACTCCGCCCTAGGCGGGACCTTCCTGCTGAGTCTCCTGGGTCTTTTCCAGGGGGGAGGGGGATCCCTTTGAGCAAAGGGAAGGGCATGAGCTGCTGCCCATCACCAATGATGGAGCCACAAATGGCACATTCCAAGATTCCGCGAGTGCCCCAAACAGGAATTCTAGGGGCTTATCCAACCACCAGGCATTCACGCCTACTCCAGCCAGGGAGTCGGTCCGGGGGCACAATCACTATTCACCTGCACAACACAGTACTCCAGTCAGGGAGGATACCCGGGAGCATCCAAATAAATCATACCCCGCAAGAGAGCTGGCACATAATCCCCAGAGTTGGCCTGACCTTACCCCAAGTCCTACAAGGGGGCAAACATACAGGGAAGTGATCGAGGAACCAAGTCCCGACTACAACACCTCCAGCCCAAATCAGGGAGTAACTGAGTTTTGTGAAGGTACAGAAACCCACACAAGCCCGGACACAGAATGGGGATCAGGGGATGGACAGCCTCCTGACAGGTCTTGGACGGACCTAAGAGGTTCTACAGAGACGCCCAACAGTGGCTATCATTTAGAAGGGCCAGAGAGCCTACAGCTAGGCGGGACAACCAGGTCACAAAGTGACAGAAGCCCTGGCCTGACGAGCCCGGTGGGCAATCAAGCAGGCCAGGCATTGGGGCACAGTCCTTGGAAGGCACCAAGGCATGATAAGGGGAACAGGCACACGTCACCCCTCAGTCAGGGGACACCTGCCAGAGACCCAGAGCCTAGTGGTCACAGAGAGCAAGGAAATCACCTAAATACTTAGAGGATTACATAACATTGCTGTCTAAACAGAGCCAGTAGAAGGGTAGGAACACTGGGGAGTAGAAAACTGCATCAAGAAAATGGGTTGCATGTTGGTAGTAGTTTTAGCCCGGGGGAAAGGGGTGTTATGTCCCGAGCTTTGCAAACGGGCTCGGGGCGTTTGCAGGCGGTCCCGGGCAGGTACAAGCTGCCCGGGACCAGACAGGTTGTCGCCAGCGCCTGTGCACATGCGCGGGTGCTGGCGCGCAAAAAGTAACACATTGACCCGGGAAAGGCCTATATAAGAGGCCGGGAGTTTTGGGCGTTGCCGGAGCATTCAATCTGTAAGCTAAATGAAGAATAAAGCAATCTGAGAACTACAACTGCTTCTCGTGTCTTGCCATTTCGCGAGGGACTCAACAATCTCTATATAATCTTATCCTCCTGTAAAACAATACAATTTAGGAGCATTTACTGGGGACCACAAATAATGCTTAGAAGGACAACCTGAAGTCTTGAAACCAAAGGCCACATGCCAGATTCCAAGGTGTCCATCCATTTTATTTATTTTTGGCTTCCAGTTATGTATGTACAGTACAGTACATTATGTACTGTACTGCAGAGTTTTATCTGCAGAAGTATCCACAATGGGGTTGCTTTTCTACTTCTGCCACAATATATACTGTATCTGAAAAACTGAGAAATGGCTAGCAACAAGCAAACCTCTCCTCGTTATGTTAAAAGATCTTCCTCTAACTTCAAATTAGGACTGTCCTTAATGATTTGGGAAAGAGGGTAATACTTTTTCAATCCCCAAACCTCTTATATCATGTATAATTTAAAGTAAGCTTCTTATCAGATTATAAACAGTACATTGTTTTGAAAAACATACATGAAAGCATACATATATGCATACCCACAAACATATATGCAATTAATAAGCTTACCACAGACAAAGTATTTGAAAGCATCGTTCCATCTTGGCCAAGCATATTTGAGACTGTGATTTCAGGTAGATCCATATTTTGGGGGTGGAATGGAAGCAGGCCATTATGGTTGATAGGGTGACACAGTGAAGGGTAACCAGATTCTGTGTCATTCAAATGCACCAGTGAATTGTCAGGTAATGAAGGTGGAGTAATGGGAGGTATGTTAAAATCTTCACTTTCAAGACTTGGACCAGGAAAAGACTGTGGAAAGATGAAAAAAAGTTTTAATTAAACTGAAAGAAAAATTTTAATTAAACTATCATGAAAAAAAATTTACTAATATTTCAAAGTGACAAAACACTTTTTCAAGCACTGTAAGCAATATAAAGTTTACAAACAAAATGAAGTTTGTGGCTGGCATAATGGTAGGCAATCATTTATTCTCTACACACATTTAAAGCACTATCTACTGTATTAAGACATTTGTACTACTATGAATGAGAAAATAGTTTTTTGGGAGGTTTACAACCTTTAATATTTTCACTGCTTCCATTAAGCAGAATTCTTTCCACCTCAGTGGCTAAATTTAAGTTTTCATTACAATTTTCTAAGAGTCTTCACACGGCTGAACGGGAGCTAGGGAAGGGAAGGGAATTTATAAAATTAATATTACCTCAAAAAGGCCTCCTAGCATTCATTGCCACTCAAGAGCAGAAACAATACAAGTGAAGAAAATCTTGTTCTTAAGTATTGTTCTATAGCGCATAAAGGAATAATAAATTTAATTTGTTATACCCAGTGAAAATTAGCCTTAGATACAAAGAGTACTCTATGAAAATACAGCATTTTGATTCTGCTTTTTTATGTTAATAAGAACAATCTTAATAGTGAATACTTATGTCCATCCACAATTATTGGTAATGTCAACTTAGCTAATCAGAATCTTTGGCCTTGGCCAAATCTAGAGCTGAATGGCCTTGTCTCTCCTGAAAATGGGGAACAGTAGAGCAAGAGTCCATGGTAGCCGAAGATTGCTTGAAAGGGAGACATGATGACAGAGAAATGCAACAAGTCTTTATTTTAAAAAATTACAAAAATACCATTAAAAGTTCTTCCCAAAATGGGTTAATCAGGGGATAATCATTCCAATGCTTATCTGTGGCATACAATTGGAAATCAACTACTGTATGTGCTCACAAATACAATGTTATTGCTTCACCTGATTTGTTGGTGTTTCCCTGACTAGCTTGTCAAAAAGCATCTCTAAAACTTTGCAAACAATTCTGGTAATTTCTAATAATCCTTTATTGCCCTCAATGAGCAGCATGAGCTATTCATCTGCATTTTCAACAGACTAAGGTGGCTTTGGGCCAAACTATAGGAAATACCACTGAAGTAGAACTTTAAATGACTCATGTTGCATTATGAAAGTCAAGAACTGATCTTGTGACACCCATCCCCAAACTTCACCAGTAGACTTTTAGGACAACAGAGCAATACTGGCTGTGTAGTAACTTGTGGAACTGTTGTCAGCTGAGGTAAGGCTTATCCAAATTATTGTGCTAGCTGCATCATGGCATTGTGCACGTTTGTTATTTGTATATCAATCTGCCATTCATTCATCATCAAACAAATCAATCCAGAGTTTTCATTCATGGCACAAATGATCAAGCTCAAATTGTTCTATTTGGATACATTATGCAAAATCCTAGTTCTCTGGAAAAGTTTCTATTGCTAGCAAAACTCGAAAGAAAGAGAAGAAGCACTAAAGTAGATGGACTAAGTTACAGTAGTCATGTGGACATCATTATGAGATCTGAAAAAATATTTTAGGGATAGAGCATCATGGAGAAAATGTATGTGGTTGCTAGGAGTAAAAAATGACATAGTCAATCAATCAATCAATCTGCTATTGATGCTGTAACAATACCTCCAAACCTGGTTCTAGAGACTCAAAGATCTATTACCAAATTTTACAGCTAGAGGGCTAGGTCCATTGCCTCTCTGATGGGAGACTACTGAGGTATTCGGGATCAATGTCAGCCCTTCAAAATAGGCAAAATCAAGAAACACACAGCAGCGATTTCAAGGATTGTTCTTTAGTGTTGTTAGAAAGAATAACAAAAACTCAAAAGCATGTCCAAGTTTTTCTCTACTCCATCTTACATCAAATAAAATCAAGGTAGGGTTATTTTGAATTTCTTCCTTACACTGCCCTCTTTTTCAGGACTGAATAATTTTTTTTTTAAAGTTCTGCTTAAATGGTTCACTCATTCTTTCCTCATTCCCGGAGCCAGATTTACATTCCTTTTTAGATGCAAGCTAAGAGAAAACAGTTTAGGATACAATGAGGGCAAAATAGATAGCATGTGTGTGCACAGAAGTGCATACATTGCTCAAATGACTCATATTGCGTCTTTGCATATTATACACCAAGTACAAATATTTTATATAAACTAATATAAAGACATTCATCTAAATGTTGATTTCTCTATTTTCAATTTCCTGCTGGCTGACAATATTAATTAAGCAGATGGTGAATGACTGACAGAACTGGAATGATATTTTTTAGTGAACCAATTGCACCATGCTGGATGTCAACAAGAGAAATGAACATTTCTAGAAAATTGGTTTGAATTTTTTTCCCCTTTCCCCTATTTTTAGAGTAATTTGTTTGTGATATGTTTATTTTTGTTAACTGTTTGTTCTTTAACAAACACTTGACAAGTATTTTGTTTCAGCAAAACTATATGTTTTACAGTATTAGCAGTGTAGGTGTAGCAGCTAAGTACATGTTATATAAGCACTTTAATGGCTAAACATTTTCTGCTTGTTTACTGAGCATGCAAGTAGTGTATCTTCTAATGCTCAAAACGTTCAGAAGCATTTGCTATTTGCCTAGATCCTCTCATTTCCTAGTCTATTTTGCTGTTATCACATACAGATTATAGCTGAGAAGAAACTGCATTGTCATACTTTCAATGAGTCATAACTTTCAAGTAGTTATTGTGAGTGATCTTTTTTGGGTCCTTTGAGTAAAATATTAAGTTATGCTCTCACTGATAATAAGAAAGCAACTTGTAATTAATATTTCTAGAATTTTATATAATGGATAAGCAGCACAAACAAAATTCATTTTGCACAAGAAAACCTATCAATAAATAACATGAACCTTATGCCATGATTAATAGATTAACAGAATAACAAAGTTGTAAGGGACCTTGGAGGTCTTTTAGTCCTACTCTGTTCCTACCATTTCAGACAAATGGTTGCCAATCTCTTCTTAAAAACCTCCAATATTGAAGCCCCCACAACACTGATTAATTGTTCTCACTGTCAGGAAATTTCTGTCAGGAAACTTTTCCTTAATTTTAGGTCTGTTCTCTCCTTGATTAATTTCCATCCATTGCTTCTTATCCTGCCTTCAGGTGCTTTGGAAAATCGGTTGATACCCCCCTTCTTTGGGGCAACCCCTTAGCTATTGGAACACTGCTATTATATCACTCCTTTTTTTTATTAAATTAGATATATTCAATTCCTGAATCTGTTTTTCATATCTTTTATATAGTAATTAACACCTCTCCTATTGGCTTGTATAAAAGTTAAATGGCAAGCAAAGCCAGTCTCCAAAGTGACTAGAAGGCAAATAAAACAAACAGTAGGCTTGTGGTTATCCTCCTTGAGAATTCCTGCCCACTCCTACTGTGCTTGGTTTATCATTGTAGATCTCAGGAACACACTGATCTAAACCCTGTTTTGTCAGCACAAGGTATCACCATAGCCAAGTCCAATTTAGAGATTTAAACTAGAGAACTAACTGAGAGGCATCTATAGAGTTGCAAATGTATTGGAAGATCAACCCTTCTAATGAGTAACCCATCTGACTGGTTAATCATGGCATTAAGCTATGAAGATCCCTTGCTTTAGAACTGCCATAATGCTTGTACCTTGCCTACAGTCTGGAAGGAAGGTGGTTGCTATCAGTGTGAGAGCTGAAGTCACTGAAGAGATGTTTTGGTGAACTGAGGTTTTATTCTCATAACAGATGTTTGAAAACTAATTGGACAATGTGACCTAAACTGTTAGAGAGGGGAGGGAAGGTTTTACTTTTTTAATTAACTTTTTCCCGCCACATTGCCAGGGTTGGTATTCTTTCTATCCTACTGGTATGCTATGCCTAATAAATCTTCACATTAGAGATCACAATGTCTCTGGTAGATTTACTTCACTGGGCTTTTCAGCCGGAACCCAGACACATGGATTATCAGAAGTTGATAGGGAATGGAGATTCTGGAGACTGCAACATAAACACCCAGCCATTAAAGTGTTTTATTTTTGCATTCTAATTGATCTACTTTCTCCTTTTGGATTTCCTTATGCTGAATTTATGGATTCTTTGAACCAAGCTGTTCTTGAAACACAAGCTGTTATTGCCTGCTTTTTTTTTTTTTGTTTATACTTGTTTACACTTCTTTTGGTTTTAAACCAAAGTCACTCTGTGATATTGATGACTACATAAATTGTATAAGTAAATAATCATGCTGTCAGTATGTAAATTTACAGTGAATTTGTTTTAAATATTAGCTTTGAAAGGACAAATTCATTGAGAAATCCTTAAAGAGAGGGCAATACAGAACTGCATCAGCAAATATCCCCTTTGTTTAATTCTGTATATCTGTATTTGTCTTGATATTATAAGTGTGCTTGCACTCCTAGTGTACATTACATACCCACTTCAGTAGTATGCAGAAAACACAATATTGTGACAAGGAAAGGTGAGGTTTACTTTCCATGGGGAAGGACAATACACATCTCCTCTTCCAACAAAGCCACAATGGACTCCGGGTACTGCCAATAAATACCACATGAAACACAAGATTTTATGACAACAAACTGCATTATTGTTTTTTTTTTTTATTGAAAGTTTTATAAATTTTACAAAAAGACAAAAACAATACAAAACAAAAGGCAACATATACAAAAAAGAAACTAAACATTACATATATATAAACCCCCCCCCATCCCCCACCCCTCACAAAAACCCTCCCTTCCCCCCCCTGAGCTTCCCAGAGCAGAATATAGGCTTAATTAAAAATTAAGAAATAAAAATAAAAAATTAAATTAAAAAATTTATATTTATATATATATATAAAAAATATCTATATATATATATAAAAATAAAACTTATAAAAAAGCTATGTGATATTTTTGTATACCCAATCTAAATTGTATAAATTTTATCCATTTGTCCCAAACAGCAA